CCAAACAGATGCGTCGCAAGATCGCTGGGGCGATGGGGCCATGCGTCCGCGCGGTCCACCTTCGCAAGAACTCACGGTATCCGCACTGCGGATACTCTAGCCGTCTAGTTAAAATAAGCCAAAGTACGAGCACTTATAGCGATTACACGGTTTCAGCCAAATTTCCAAAGCTAGAATGGCCTGGAACATAGAAACTAAAAGGCATATGCCAGCTCCCGACCAGCTGAATAGGTGGCGCCATCTAGTGCGACCATAGTGAAATAGACAACCACAACTTTGTTATTGCAGAAACATTGTACATTGTACATCTGGTGCAAAAACTGTGCAGCGACAGTACTACAAATGAGTAACCTTTTTATTCATTTTCACCTCAAAAACATTACGCGTAAGCTAACATGTTCATGACTGCGGTTGCACGAAGTGTCACAAGATGTTGACACTGTCGTTACAATAACTTTGTATTTCACTTTTTTGCGTATACCAGATTACTGTACACAATAAAAAAAAGTGTCCTGATCACTATGTATGCTTAATTTAACATTTTAAATCATAAAAAGACTTAAATAATACTTATGCGACAAGACGCTATGGCTCTGCGAGCGCGTGTGAACTTCGTGCGGCTTGCGTTTGCGTGCGTGCCACCGTGGCGCCAACTAAAAGGCATTCCGGTTGGGTATGGGTTAGGCACGCAACGCCGCGCGCTCCCAAGCCCGCAAGGCCCCAAGAGAATGCGTACCCAGCACTAAATCTTCCTAGTGTTTTTACTGTGTCCCCCAACGTTGACGTCCTGCTTTCACACAACGTTGCATTTCCTCACACCGTCGTCACTATAACGGCCAATGCATGCAGTCTACCGCTAGTGAATTTTGGCCTATTTACACAAGTCCTCCCTCGTGGTATATCTCTCGCTGAAATCATGCCAGCGGCAGAGGGCCATATTTGCACTCTGTTATGATAGCATCCCGAGTGCCGAGAAAACTTCGCCTACTCCTCTATCAGACCAAAGTGTCTTAACAAAGGTGATTGCAACAAACGTGATTGCACCCGACTTACTGAAAGAACAAGCTAATGACCTGTGTTCTCTTCTTGCATCTTTTAGGGACATCTTCGACCTTGGTGACCGCTCCCTTGGCAAGACGTTCGTTGTTAAGCACCGGATTGATACAGTAATATGAGTCCCATTCATTGGAGATCCTACCGCGTCTCCCATGCTGAGCGGCGCATCATCCAACAAAAGGTCGACAAAATGCTTTTTCGGAATATCATTGAGCCCTCCTGCAGTCCCTGGACGTCCCCTGTTGTACTTGTCAAGAAGGACAACAGCTGGAGACCTACAACAGAGTTCGCTGGCGCTTCTTCTGGCCTGGCATGTACCGCGATGTCTGTCGTTATGTTGCAGCCTGCGACCCTTGTCAACGACGGAAAAAAACCAAATGCCCCTCCTGCCGGACGTCTTCAGCCACTGGACATCCTACGAGACCCATTCTATGGTGTTGGCGTGGACCTGCTTGGCCCTTTTGCTACGTCAGCGCGAGTAATCGGTGGATTGCAGTAGCAACGGATTATGCTACCTGATACGCAATCACACGGGTCCTTCCAACCAGCAGTGCAACTGATGTGGCCGATTTCTCTTTAGAGGATGTCATCCTACACCACGGCGCTTCTCGACAACTTCTTACCGACCGAAATAGCTACATCCTTTTCAAAGCGGTTGATGACCTCCTCCACTCCTGCGCCACTAAACACAAACTTTCGACTGCTTACCATCCACAAACAAATGGTCTAATGGAGCCCCTCAATCACGCTCTCATTCACATGTTCTCCATGTATGTCTCCACCGATCACCGCGACTGGAACACTACGTTGCCATTTGTAACATTTGCGTACAATTCCTCTAGACACACCACTGGGTTCTCTCCTTTTTTTCTGTTGTTCAGCCGTGACCTTGCGCTACCAAGTTGCTCGATGACGACTACTGTACTCCCAGGACAATCGGAAGAGCGTATGGGACGCCCGCCATCGTGACGTTCACTTCACACGTGGCAATCTTGTTCTCCTTTGGTCCTCCTCTCGCTACGTTGGACTTTCGGAGAAGTTACTCCCACGATATTCAGGTCTCTACCGCATTTTACGCCAAGTAACTTACGTCACCTACGAAATCACCCCTACGGACCCCGTCATCATTCACCCTCACATTTACATAGTACATGTTACGCGACTCAAGCCATATCACTCCAGTGCCTCCTAATTAGCACCAGGTCGGTGCTCAAGCCGCCGGGAAAATCGTGTAACAGGCGGACGAGAACGACGAAGAGGACAGGGAGGAAGACGATGTGGACAGACTCTTCGAGCCAACTGGGGTGCCATCTTGTCCACCACTGAGTTTATTCTGGGTTTTGTAAAGTTATTCTCCCCATTACATCATTTGCTGCGCTATCCTGATAATATCAATGGGAATTGCTCCAAACTGCGCCAAAGTCAGATTCCTGAACGTATCTCCGGCAATAGCCACATCGGCGCGTCAAAACGTGTTCAGCCTTTTCTCGGGGCCACCGAAGTCGCAACTAGGTACCTAGAGTTATTCAGCTGAATGCCATGTTCTGCTTGGTGCCGACGCAACTTCTGTTGTTCAAGTCTGCTCAACGGCAAAATGCGCTCTCATCAGCTAGGGGCTCATGACGTGTATTGCAATCGGTAGCGTATAATTGCGGTGGTGATTTATCGGCGGATGTTTCAGGAACGCTGCTGATACCTCGTTTGAAGAGCCGTACTGGACGTAACAAACGCAGTTTTCCCTAATAACTGCACGCATGCTGCCAGAATGTCTATTTCTGAACATTGTGATATAATTTTCAGTGCTTAGCATTCACAGAACACGTGAACGGTAGGAACGGGTCAACACTTTTACTCAAATTTACTTTATCTATGGATCTTCATTCACAAGAGCTTCTTCATGAATCCTTCTGACAGGACATCGGTGTTTGTAATCACTCTTGCAGTAAATGCCCCTAAAAGACCGTACGCCTTTGAGCTTCTGAGTACTAGGGTTCGAATTCAAATTTTTCGTGCCAGGGTCAATAGCTGACTGTTAAAAAATAAACATCACAGTACCGCATTCATTGCTTCACATTAATTTGCTTTGGGGTGTAGTAGGCTGTCACTTGAAGGGCGCAGTCGCTGGTGCTCGCTACCTCCTGGCATCGTGAGAGTGCTCGTAAACATTCTGTGCTATCAACGTCTGCTTCGTGTTTAGATAACTGACAACACAAAAAACTGCATCTGTACTTCGAGTGGCTACAGTTCTTTTAAGCATTGTTCTGTTGAGTTACATGATATCAAGTCCCAAAGATGCAATTCGACGTCATCTGTGAGGAGCACAAGTTGTGGAGTTGCCGTTTCAAGGGACCGCGCACTCGTCGTATGCTCAAAAGACTTGCTGCATGCGCTGTGATTGATATCCATGCGGTGACTTGGGTGACTAGAAACCACCGAAGCACGCCTTGCACGCTTATGATCGTACAGCACAAACGGTGCGTACAAATGGACCTCCGGCACTGCGCGAGTGTGGCACCCTTGCATACCCCCCCTATATGGCCGTTCCAGGAAGTGAAGCACTTTTCGCAGTCTATTCACATTGAGAGTACAACACGTTGGATGGTATACGAGCCATCTGTAATGCCTACTGAAATAGCGCGCGTGCCAGCGATCACACCTTCAAAGACAAAGTGCACAGTTGCTGCTCTAGCCCCCCCCCCCCCCCCTCTTGCATTCGTTCATGCTCATCTAAGACGGTTGGCATGTACCTCTCTGCTTGGGTATACCAATTAATGGCACGCCTGGCACGCAAGGTGGTGTTATCGTTTGTACCCTCCTTGCAACAGAGGGTACATGGAATCGGGGCTCTTCTTATCTCTGATTCACCCATTTTTGTAGCCCGCATGCGCGCTTCTATCGGCATGTAAAACACTATGCGTGGAGAGGGGCGCGACATCGATTGGGACGTTACAGCGACGGCTAAAATCAGTTGCGAATGTCCTTATAATTGCTATCGCCATCAAAAGCGATATGGTTTTCGCCTTTGGGTCATCTTAGGCGTATGCATACGGTAGCCTGTAAGCTTTTTTTTCTTTTTCGCACTACTTTCTAGAGGACTAGGAGTATTTCCACTTGCAAAGTCCTAGCTATATAGAACTTCGCTTCAAAAGGAAAATGAAATTTGTTAAATCATGTCGTCCCAGCACAGAGAAACCTCGAGATGGAAGCATTGGAAGAGGTTGGCTTTATAGGGCTAGCTAAGTGAGGTTATTTTATGCCCAGAAGTATCGTTAATAGTGTAGAAAAAGAACCTCTATTTATCATCGGTGTTGTCTTAGGGGAATACATTGGAGACAGTGCGAGTCTCTAGCATTGTACGTCACTCTGTTTGTCTACCATGTCTGCTGATAACCGCATAGTGTACGAAGAATGTTATTTCATAAAGTACAATTTTATTGAACCAGTAGTCTGTTTACTTGCTACAGCGATAATCGCTGAAAAAGTTAGATGCTGGGCACACGAGGAGGGCAGGGGGCAGCCGCCCTCCTCGTGTGCCCAGCATCTATAGTGAAGTAATGAGTGCCAAGATTATTGGCTTTGTCAGATTTGCAATGAATTGGAATATTTCTAGCTCTTCACAAGAGCCCCAAAATAATTATTCATGTCCTTGAATATAAATACAACTTGCTTCTTTAGTGTACTCTGGGATGTGAGTTATGAAGTATGGTAAATAACACTTAAAAGCAAACAGGTTGAGTTGGCAAAAGTAGTGTACTGATAAGTTTGCTTTGTGGGACTCAGCTGATGCACAGAAAGGTTTTAATAAAATGAAGCTTTTCTGTGGACTTGTGATTGATGTTACAGTGGCCAGTGACTGCATTTCTCGATATAGCTGGCCAGGTGAATGTTTGTTGCGAGTTTATTTAGCAATGCATAACAGTAGCAACTGTGTGTTTTGTGTACAGGATTTGGGCGGCGAGATGTGGTTGAGCACCTTCTACAAAATGGGGCCAATGTTCATGCCAAGGACGATGGTGGCCTGATTCCCTTACACAATGCCTGCTCCTTTGGCCATGCAGAAGTAGTGCAGCTTCTCCTGAAGCACGCTGCTGATCCAAATGCAAGGGACAACTGGAACTATACTCCACTGCATGAAGCAGCAATCAAAGGAAAAGTTGACGTGTGCATAGGTATCGGTTGCTTGAGCTTGGCTGTCTTTTCATGTGATACTATGACTCGTAATATTTTACAAATTTTTTAAATTCCTACATCTTATATCCTTACTCTTCACCACTTTCCCAAGCGGTGAAGGGGAAACTTGGAATAGGAAAAAACCAGATGTATGCACTAAGGGACAAGGAAGGCAAAGTAGCTACTAATATGGATAGAATAGTTAAAATAGCAGAAGAGTTTTACAGAGATCTGAACAGTAGCCGGGACAACCACGACCATAATGTAAAATCTAACAGTAACCCAGATGACATTGCACCAGTAATGACAGAAGTAGTCAGAAAAGCCTTGAAGGGAATGCAAAGAGGTTAAACTGCTCGTGAGGATCGGGTAACATCAGATCTGCTGAAAGATGGAGGACAGATTGTGTTAGAAAAACTAGCGACCCTGTTTACGAAGTTTCTCCTGACGGGAAGAGTACCAGAATGTTGGAAGTATGCTAACGTCATATTAATACACAAGAAAGGAGATGACAAGGACTTGGAAAAATTACAGGCCTATCAACTTGCTCTTTGCCGTGTACAAGCTATTTACAAAGGTAATTGCTAACAGAATTTAGACATTAGAATTCAATCAACCAAAGGATCAAGCAGGATTTTGAACAGGTTACTCAACAATCGACCACAATCACACTATCAATCAGGTAACAGAGAAATTCTCAGAATATAGCGAACCACTATACATAGCCTTCATAGATTACGAGAAGGCATTTGATTCAGTACAAATATCAGCAGTCATGCAGACACTGCGGAATCAGGGCGTCGATGAAGCATAGATAAACATACTGGAAGAAATCTACAGTGGATCCACAGCCACGATAGTTCTTCATAAAGTGACGGAATCCCAATAAAGAAGGGTGTAAGGCATGGAGACACGATCTCCCCAGTGCTATTTACCGCATGCTTACAGGAGATTTTCAGAGGCCTAGAATGGGAAGAGTTTGGGATAAGAGGTAGTGGAGAGTACTTTAGTAACCTTCGCTTCGCCGATGACATTGCATTGCTGAGTAACTCGGGGGACGAATCGCAACTCACTATTACTCAACTACACAAGGAGAGTAGAAAAGTAGGTCTTAAAATTATTCTGCAGGAAACAAAAGTAACGAAGCGCTGTTCTGTTCCCAGGTAGAACTACCTGGGAACAGAACAGCGCTTCGAGATAGGTAATATTGCACTTGAAGCTGTAAAAGACTGTCTACTTAAAACAGGTAATAACGGCGGAGCCAAACCACGAGATTAAAGTAACTAGAAGAATAAGAATGGGGTGGAGCGCACTCGGCCAGCATTTTGAAATCATGAATGGTAGATTATTACTATCCCTCAAGAGGAAGGTATAGAACAGCTGCATCTTTCCGGTACTTGTCTACGGAGCAGAAACCTGGAGACTTACAAAGAGGGTTCAGCTTAAATTGAGGATAACACAGTGAGCGATGAAAAGTAAAATAATAGGTGTAACCTTAAATGACAACAACATAGCAGAGTTGATCAGGGAACAAACCGGGGTTAAGGATATCATAGTTGAAATCAAGAAGAAGTGGACCTGCGCCATGGATGTACTGCGTAGGCAGGATCACCACTGGTTGTTAAGGGTTACTGACTGGATTCCCAAAGAAGGCAAGAGGGTTAGGGGTAGACCGAAAGTTGGGTGGGCATGTGAGATTAGGAAGTTTGCGGGTATAAAGTGGCAGCAGCAAGCACAGGACCGAGTTGACAGGTGGATCATGGGAGAGGCTTTTGTCCTGCATTGGACGTAGTCAGGCTGCTGCTGCTGATGATGATCTATACGTATGGCTTAGGTTGAAGAATAGTTCTGCTGGATATCATTAGGTAGCACCTGTGAACCAGTCTGTGCTTTCATTTTGCCTGAAGTTGTTCTTTTCACTAAACACCTCACTTGTCTCGAAATAGTTACAGAAGTGCATTACATGGGGTGCTACATGGCATTTTCAAGGAGTGCATTATGCTTCAAATTATGTGAGCAATGTGCTTCCCCTGGATGGCAGCTCCCTCACTTCTTGCCCCCAGTAACAAAGCTGCTTTAAGATGAACCCATGAGATGCTTACCTAAGGAAACTACTGCTATATAATTAGAATAAAAAAAGCGGCCGAAATGCACTCGTTATTTATTTGATTATCACACGTTAGTGGTATCTTGAAAGGCGTTGTCAAGCAATCAACTACATGACACAATTGCAAACAGAACAGTTCCCTACTTGTTTTTCTAAAAGGGACAGTAGCTATGTTTGTTTGGAAGAACAGCAAGGTGGGCGAGCTTTTACTGATTCATGATGGTACTTGAAAGAGCAAAACACGCAAAATAGACAAGATGAACTAAAGAAGACGTGCACTCACTTCAAACCTTCAAACTTTCTTTCATTTGCAGAAAGAGTCCAGGTTTTATCGTACACCAATAGTCAAAGCAATAGGCAACTGCATGTGTGCACATCAGCGAATTAACAAAGGGTGAACAATTATTGGCTCTTAGGTAAAAAACCACAAAAGAACAAACAGAGCCCCTACCTTCTGCACATGAGTCGTTAAACTGAGGTGAAAACAACTGTGGCGAAAAAATCAGGTCATGCCAGACATGCACAGCATGGTTGCTGCTGATTATTCCCTCCCAATGCTGAAGCCACTTCACTATTTACCGTATTTACTCGATTCTACCTCGCCCTCGATTGTAACGCGCAGCCGGTTTCCACGACGAAAAAAAAAAAAAAAGTAAGACATCGATTGCAATGCGCACCCATTTTTCTCCTTGGCCCGCACGATCACACCACTCGAAAAAACGACTCCTTTCGGGAGCGTCTTCTATTTAAATATGGTACGGGGGAAGCTTGTGCCCATCTGACGTGTAACACAGAATTGCCGTCACTGTAGTTTAACCGTGGACTGATGTCAGCACGCGAACTTGCTTCGTCCCTTTTTTCTCGACGGTTGTGGTGCCAGGCATGTCGAAGTAAAGAGGCGTCTGATGGCATTCCCGATTTGCCCAAGCAGGTAGCCGTTGTTGTGCCGCAAGTTTAGGACGAACCTCTGAAAACTGTGAAGCTTTTCATCGTACTCCGGAAACTTTTCGCATATGCCTGTTCGCCTTCTGAGGGAAAAGCCTTTCCTCTTCATAAAGTGAGTTAGCCAGCACCTGCTCGCTTTAAACTGGCTCTGCATTAGAACTTTTTCTAAGGCTAACTGCATAGCCCGCACTTAGAGCAGTTCTGTCGTCACGGGCCGCTCGCTACTCAAGCACATACTCGCCGAGCAGCTCTTCAATTTGCGGAAACCGGCCCTGGTGGTCCACTGAAGCCTTTGCGTGAAGCTTTGCTGTCGACAATCTTCTGCTTTTGTTTCCGCCAGTCCCGCACGCACATTTCGGGAACTCTGAACGACCGCGATGCAGCTCGATTTCCGCCCGTTTCTGCACACGCGATGACTCTCCTTTTAAAAGCGGCATCGAGGTGCACTCGTCGAGTTTTTGGAGTCGGCCGTTCCGTGCCGTCGATGCTAATGTACTACAAGATGACGAACTCCTCAGCACACGTACGAAATGCCGCACATGGGAAACACATAGGCAGAAATGGCCGACGCGCCATGCCGACGCACGTTGGGGGCGGCCATTTTAAATATGCCGATGGCAATAGAATGACCATATTCATTTTTTTTTCGTACTCGATACTAACGCGCATGCGATTTGTGAACTCGCTTAACCGGAAAAAAGGTGCGCGTTAGATTCGAGTAATTACGATAGGAGGTTAATAGATGGCTGACTGATGCACGTGGGAGCGTTTTGGTGGATATGGAAAGCTGCAATTATTTGAGCCCCGTTTTCTTGGCTAAGGTAAACAGAGCTGTAAATAGGGGCATGTGTGGTGTGGCTCATAAGATACACAGAAGATTACTGCATTTTGGTTGACACTGTCAATTTCAGCCACAGGGTAGTGGATGTGTTGCTCTTCAAGGAAGAAGTGCATGGCTGGAAGTTTTATTTTGAAACCCCCTTATGTGCAGACCATCCAGTTCGTTGACTGGTAATTCGTGCTAGTAGGTCTGCACATTTCTTGGAAGTACACCGTCGTCCTTGATGAAAGGGAACACATGAGTTCGTAGCTTGCGCTCGATGGCAGCTGCCCAAAGCGCTATCAACCAACGGCTGAACAAAGTGCATCCTCTTTTGGTGGCACTGCTCGTTATCAGATAAAGCGGGAGTGTTATATAGCAGTGCTTGTTTATGATTCATTATTTTGTTTGCCAATAGATGACTCCAAAACCCAACGTGCTTTGACTTTTGGTTGATGGAGCTGTAGGCAGTCGCTGCAGGGCGTGGGTCACGCACTCATGTGGCTTGCACCCACATTTTTGACAGCAATGCTCGAAGTGAGTTGCTGTCAATAATGTGGCTGCAAACCCAAATTTAACAAAACGATCATTCTTTTCTGGCACCTCAGCAAGATAACAGAAAAAATAGATAACTAGGGTACCACAGTTTTCACCTGTTTCAGGACTCTCATGCGCAAAGGGTAGCTCCTGTTTTTTGTTCTTGTTGTGGTTTTTACCCTTCAGCTGATGGTTGTTCATCAATTGTAAGTTTATTGTTGTGCACGGATGTGTTTTCCAGTTGCTTTTGCTTTTTGATGCACGATAAAACTTGGCGGTTTTCTGTAAATAAACTTTAGTTTGATGTGAGCGCTTCACTTGTCTAGTTCTTGCGTACTTTACGCATTTTGTGCTTCTAACTAGCACCATGGGATCAGTTCAAGCTTATCCAACTTTCTGTTCTAAACAAGCACAGCTACGTGGAATTGGGCCAATAAAGTATGTACTTGGTTGCTTAACACATTTCGAGATGCAGTGCACCCAATGCATGATTAGAAAATCGGTATCAACAGAATTTTGATCGCTTTTTATGACAATTTTACTGCAGTAGTTTTCCAAATGCAGGAGTTAGCCACTGTAACCTCGTAACTGCTCTTGTACACAGTAGTGCATTCAGAATCATTCTATTATAAACATTTCTGAGCAAATGTCTTTTAACCCACTAAGGCTCAGTGTACTTTGGAAAGTACACTTTCTATTTCGTGAGTAGAAAATACACAAACGAATGTTTTGATCTTGCTCATTGGAATTTTGGGCAGCAAAGGTTGCAGCAAGATAATCCTAACTTGGCATGTTGACTCAGTCGTATTTTTTTCTGTTCTACGAGTCTTTAAACTTGAAAAAAATGAGAGCCTGTCAAATGCACTTGGTCAGTACAATTTTTTCTGAATTGAATTGAGCTTTTACAATTTACATCTTGAAAAAACAGATTGCTTGTGCTTCAGCAAGAACCAAATAAATAACCCATGCAAAGCACGAGAAGGGCATAGAGTTCATAGTTTTGCTCTGGAGTGTAATCAAGGGGGGGGGTATACTTTACACAGCACAATGAAATTTCATCGAAGCATACATGTGCCTTAGAAATGGAACCGGCTATCTTCTTTCGAAGACTGTCCTTTTTTCGGTTCACTGAGGCTCACGAGGCTGAGACAATTGTATCTGTAAATACACAAGAGCCCATTGATGTTTTAATTGTTGCTTGTGAGCTTAACATAGGAACTTAGGAGAACGATGATGCTACGAATGGACGCTCTCTGCTAACAATAAGAAAAACCTTGGAACTTAAGGAATGTAGAAAGTGTAGTTTGTTTAGAACCTGGAAACAACTGTTTTGTTTCGTAAATGCCAAAAGCAGTTTTGCTTCGTAAATGCCAAAGTTAGCTATTCCGAGAAACGACACAGTGTTTCGTAAATGCCAAAAGCAGTTTTGTTTTGTAAATGCCAAGTTAGCTATCTTTAGAAACGACACAGTGTAGTTATGCTGTGTAACGAATTGGCAATCCACTCAAAAAAAAAAAAAAAAAAAAACTTAGTGCTACTGTTCATCCTTTTCAGCTGGTGTAACAATAGCATGGGCGGGACTGAGCTCTACTATAAAGCTGTGAATAACTACAGAATTTTCATCTCCAAGTTACACAGGCCAAGATAACTTCAGTATTTGTTTGGCAAGGGCCTAGTGCATTGTTGCACTGGGCAAGCTTTCCTGTTGCTGTGTCAAGGGCCCAGCATGCATTCTAAAGTATAGTACCATAACTTGTGAAAAAAATTAAGCAAATGTGATGAAAATTTGCACGTGTTGTTTTTATTCCAGTTGATTAAAGGTGTGAAATATCAATAAAACCCAACTAGTAGTTTTTACGTGGGCCTTAATAGATTAATACAGTAAAACCTCATTATTTTAACTCGGTTATTTTGAAATCCAAGTTAATTTGAAGTATTTCAGTCGTCCTGTATTTTGATATGCAAGTTTCAGCTGATAATTTGAAGCGGCAGTCAGTACCAGTCTATGTCAATTTGGAAAGATTTGGTGCAGTGTACTGATTTCCGATCCCTATTTCGCCATGAAACTGTGGAAAGGACAGCCCTTTAGAGCCACTAGACAATGTACTGTAGTGATACTGCTGAGTGGCAGCTGAAGTACCCCAGCCTCGATACTCCCAGCACAAAAAGTAAAATTGCGAAAAAACAACAAAAAAGGTCTTGTGAACTGTTAAAATGTGTGTCTGCGGAAAGCAAGACGTGCTTCACTTCACCACAGTGGGGACGCGCAGGCAGCACGCTGCAAGCTTCTTGCAACGTCCGCGTGTCAAAATTCACTCACTCTTTCTGGGAATATAAAGAAATTAATAAAGGGCCGCTTGGCAGAATTAGCAATGTATGCAAACCTCCAAGTGCCGGTTGCTCCAGCATTTTGCGTACTTGCACTGCTGGTGGAGTTCTTGTCAGTAATGCCTACTTTGAAAACTCGGTTAGAAAGCTTCAATGATCATGTTTTCCAGCCAAAATGTCGCGAATTTTGTCACAATGTGTATTATTAAATTCTTTATTTTACTAGAAAGAGTGGGTGAACGGTGGCATCATGACGTGCTGATACAGCGAGGAGCAGGTGTCACGCTGCCCACGTGTCCTTACTGTGTTGCAGTGAAGATGTCTTATTTTTCGCAGGCGTGCATTTCAGTTGATCACGACTTTGTTCGTTTACGATAGCGGAAGCGAGGCCCGGCGTTCCCCTTTGTATGCGGAAACACTGTGACCTTGTATTTGTAGAATACGTAACCATTGGAGCTGCAAACTAGCCAGCACAGCAAGCAACCAGCCCTGATTATATACTTTGAATAATTTCAAGTTTTTTTGCATCCCACTTTTTGTATGTTCTGTTAATTCGAAACCAGCTTAATTTGAAAATTTCTCATGGTCCCAGTGACTTTGAATTAACAAGGTTTTACTGTACTAGGCAAATCTATACCTCTGACAGATGGCATAGCCCTTCAACAAAGAAAGAGCGATTTGGTATGACTACACCCAATATATCAGTTAATAGTTTCTGAGCAGTAAAGAATTTCTTGGTTACCTTTAAGCATTTTTATACTTTTGTTTGCAGTGCTTCTGCAGCATGGGGCAGATGCATCTATCCGCAACACGGATGGAAAAACTCCACTGGACCTGGCTGACCCATCCACTCGTAGTGTGCTCACAGGGGACTACAGAAAGGATGAGCTGCTTGAGTCTGCTCGTAGTGGCAATGAAGAGAAGCTCTTGTCACTGCTCACATCCATCAATGTCAATTGCCATGCCAGCGATGGTCGCAAGGTAATCTTTTGATAAATATTGGGTGTACAGTAGAACCTTGTATATATATTTCTGGAAAAACCGCGGAAGATAAACGTATGGTCCGGGAAAAGGTACAATCTGAATCTAGCAAGAATTGAGGCTGACAAGTTGGTGTAAAAGCAAAAAACATTTATTTTTCAAAAAACATGCTAATTTCCTGTTGCTGCCTCTCAGCCTTGGACAAGAAAAGCTCCTTCAGCCATTACAGATTGTAGACCCTTGTCTGCATTTTCATTGTTTTTTGTGCAAAAGAAGCTTTGTAAAGCTTCTGGTCCAGCAAGGGTTTCGGCAGAGTTAGCAGGTCAGCGTACGCTTTCGTTCTCGCCGCTGTCTTCTGGCCCCTCAACCTCCACCTTCTTCACTGCGTTGCCCCCACCACCTCTGCGACAATCTCAGCAACACTTTGCAGCTTGCAAGTCGGGACATTGTCGTCCATCGTGACGAACTTGGCGAAAGGTGCATCGGCACTGGTGGACGAGAACTCCTCATCGATGTTGTCGTCGATGTCAAATATGCACGCCACAAGGTCGTCTTCACTGTGCTCTGTATCCTCCGATGCAAGCTGCTGCCGAAAACTGCACTTCCTGGAACAATTGCTAACCGTTTCACTCGTTACACTGTCTCGAGTAGAGCTCAAGTAGTGTGAGAGCTTGCACCATGCTAGGCGCGGCTGGCTCGAATTGTGAACTACTGAGCAACATGCAGCCTTGCAGAGGGCCCGGCCTGCATATGCCTTTTTTTTCCTCCTTGAAGCAGTGACAGTCACTGACGACGATCTCGTTGGCCGACGCTCATTTTCGGTGGAGATTACCTTGTAGAGTTGTGGACACCCAGATAATACAGCGGGGCACTCATACCTTGCTAATGATGGGGAGGGGTGAGGGGATTGGGTAGAGAGAGCCACGTTGCTGTCTCATCTTTGAGGATGAAAGGTGCGTGGCTAACATACTTAAATTCGCCTGGCTTTGTAAATCTTAAAGGAAGAACTTGGTGACAGAATCCAGCTGTGTGTCAGGGGGAGTTGGAAGAGGAAGCAGATGTAGCAAAAGTGAGAAATATACGTAGCACATTGAGCAGGAGACGCAGCAGGTTCGACTTGTGCCGAAGCACGGTGAACTCGAGGGGACCGACAGCGCATGTATTCTTTGTGCCTTATTGTTAGCTCCGTAGTGTTCTCCTGGCTGTTGTAGCCGTGGATCTGAATAATAAAAAAAAAAAGTGCGGGACAAGCAAAGAAACCGCTGTCGCTGTGCAGTGGTGGTCTGCCATTAAGGGGAGATGCTACTCGAAAAACGATTTTCTTTAATAAGAATCTGAATTTAACACAAATTGGCATGCTAATAGTTTTTTCTCCTCTTTTCAAATATGTCATTTATTTTCATGTAGAGTGCTTGGTTTTCTTTCTGCAGGTCAGATACTGCAAAATTATGGCCATTGTTATGCAACAATTCTGACCTATAAAAATTTGAGATAAAGCATGCAGATATAGCTGACTATGATCCTTTGGAACTGTAGAGTGCAAAAAACTATATAAATTTTGTGTGTAAAAAGGTGAAATACAATAATAAAATAGAAAAATTTACTATGGCTCTAGTTGCCAAGGGCTTTCAATGTTATGTAATTTTTGAAAAACATAATCAAGCAGCACTGACAATCTGAATAGATACTTGCACTCTATGGGCCTTTATCATGCTATGTGCAAAATTTCATAGAGGTATGACAATTCTAAGTATACGAACTAGCGTGTATAAGAAGCACAGATCACACAAAACTACAAAAGGAGAAAAACGCATTTGAAAGTTTGAAACCTTTTTTTTTTATCACAGAGTTGTTAGAAATGCATAATCTTTGGCCATAATGTTCAACAGAACTTTTAAAAGCAGTGCAAGTTACTAGAACTGTCCTGCAGCATAGGTTGTGCCCTCACGGTCCTTGTGAGCACTCTCTTCTAGCCGTGCCCTTTTCACTCCACGACGACGGTGGGCCCTTGCTTCTGCTGTCAGACGCTCAGACATTCTCTTGATGCGCCTCGCATCGCGGGAATCACTGAAAATAACTAGATCTCTAGATGGCAGTATGTTGAGCTCTTCCAGGATGTGCTCGAAGGTAGCATGACCCTTGTTGAACCACAGGATTGCCATTGCTGCGGCAGTCTCGACAACCGTTCGGGAGACAAACTTAGTCTTGGGGCAAAGTAGGCAAATTTTGCTGTTCAGGGATTCCGATGCGTTCTGGGTTTTCCCTTTGATGCATCGAGCAAGGAGCTTCTCATCCGTTAGCCGCTTATAAATGGGCAAAACAGCCAATCCCTGTGCTTTTGTCAGGAGAGGTGTGTGGCGTGGTGCAGGTTCACCAAGTGCTTCAGCGCGTTGATGTTTGCACCACGACTCTGTTCCTGCAGGGCAAAACTTGTGGCTGCCAGCATTGCCAGTAGAGCATGAGTGGAAGCACGAAGCCCATACTGCAGTGTACATATCCCGTACACTCCCCCTGTTGCTTGTTATGGCAATCTGATAGTATGTTTGGAGCTTCTGAATGGCTGGCTCTTTCATTTTCTGCCCTCATGGTAATGGCACATGCAGCTTCCGTAGCGCGGTGCCAAGTCTCTTGGCCACATGATTAGTGCAGTCTTCTTTTTCTATATTGACAGCACCATAGACTTTTGACTCTGCAACTGCACTATATGCTTTGCTGTCACCGTCACTCAAGAATGTCATGAAATGCAGTGGGGTGTCATAAGTCAATGTTCTCTGCCAAATGCGCATTGCAGCCTCCGTTTCCATGGCATGGGAGGAACAGTCTGCATTTTTTTCACAGACTGGGCCATGGAATGCCTGACACCTCGTCTGGGCCCATATCCTTGTGCCTACTGCATGTCAGGCAGTAATTTGATATGACCTCGAAGTCTAAGCAGAGGCCAGTATCTAAGGAGATAACTGCGCCAATCCCGTTGTGGCTTTTGTGGCCCCTCTTCTGCCAAGTGCCGTCGAACATAACAGCCACATCAGTTTCGCCTGCTACTTCTTTCGTCAACACTCTGGATCGGCGCAAGTTTTCACTCACAGCTGCCATGGCAGCGGTGTGCACCTTCTTCGCTATCGAAAAAAATCCTCGGTAGTGCATTGGCTTTGGGAGTCCAATAATGGAGCAAAATCTCGACAATTGCTCATGCCCAATGCCGACAGCGCGTGCAGCCACCACCGCCTTCACATTTACAGCGAAACTATCTCGGGAGCTCCCACTGTCGTTCCGTTGGCTCACTTGGCTGCTGCCGTCCGCCGTAACACGCAGTGATGTATAGGAGCACCAAAGAACAGTCGCTGAGCATTCGCTGTTTTCGCAATGAAGTTCGAGGAGCGACGAAAGTCCCTTGCGCTTTTCTGCCGGTTCCCGAACGGCAAGTTTTTGAATACCGCAAGCAGGGCATGCCGCACCTGCCACAAGTGCCATCAGCAAGAGGGTGTCGCACAAAACTGTCATTTCACAAACTTCATCGCGCTGTCTTTCATCTTTTTCGAAGAAGCCGAGCTTCTTTTCCGAAGCACTGACGAAAGAAAGCGCAGCGTCAATCCCTTCATTGCAGCCACTGTCGCTCGCGCACTCGACGATGCCGCCGTCAGGCCTAGCACACGTAGGCGCGTTCTCGTTCGTCGCCGTCGTTCGGGGCGCTTTACGCCGCCTTCCCTTGAACTTGTGCTTCGTTCTAAACTTCTGAAATATGCGTAGACGCGCAGAAAAGCAGACGGACCAAATGCCGATGGCCGCCACCAACACAGCTGACAATGACTCGGTAGCCAATGGCGATGCGGCTTAGGGTGCCGCGCGTTTCAAACTGCTCAAACCACGTGATAAAAAGGCCTCGTTTTTTATTTTTTTCTGCCCATGTACGAAACTGGCGGTCGTCGGAGCTGTAAGAACAAGGCCGGACGCAACTTTCCCAACCGATCGCGACGGCGGGCGGCACTGCGACGGGTAGCAGCGCGCAGTCAAAGATGGCCAATATCGGCGCAAATTCACGAAATTTTGAGCCACCGCGATGCCTTCATACACATTTTTTTTGCATTTTGCGGTTCGAATTTAGTTTTGAAATTTTCACAGATGAAAGAAGCAGGTTTGAAGATTACAATGCAATAAAAATCAGAAATACGAGAAATTTCGCTAAAAACGCGATTTTTCGACTCTCATCTCCCCTTAAACACTTCATAAGCATGCGAGAACGGCTCTTTTGTCCGCCTGAATGAGAATTTTTGTCCGCGGAACGCATCATACAACTCTAGTTCAGCGCAATGCCATATGTTGCTGCCGAATAATCGTATTTTCCGAGAACGGGGCATTTATAGGTTTCCCGATTTCGAGTGTAGGAACCGGGAAATCGTATCAAACGGGAACATAGTATTAACAAAGTTCTACTGTATTTGTCAAAGTATTAAAAGCGTTACAGTGGATTCTAAAGGACCCCAGACAGAGAAAGTTTTGTTTGCGACTTTTTATATAGTAATTTGTAGCTTTGGTTTTTTGGTAATGTTAAACTTTGATTGTAGATGTTCTAGTGCAATGTATAATTAATCCTAGTATTGTTAATGCAGAACGATTTTGCATCAGTTCGAAACGCCTGGCTAAATACCATAAGAAACTGGTGCTCCACAGCGGGGCAGCACTTGAGACTACGCGTACTCAAGCTTTGGCGAAGCCGAACACGCAGCTTTCAAAAAGGACTCATGGGTGGGGAAGAATGAAACAATGTGGGTGCTTTAAGTGTGTCCCATTCAGAAAAAAAAAGCATTCCTGGCATGAACAGCCAAAACCACCTTGGGAACAGCCCAACAACTGAGCAAAAGGGGTGACGAACAATGGTCCTCACTTGAGGCATTGTGCATGCCTCGCGTGGAAGCTTGATGAATTACTGTTTATTTGAATTTCCCGGTGGCACGAATTTCGAAGTTGCTTTGAATGAACTACATTATATAAAATACATCGTGATTCTGTGTTATATGAACGGTTCCTCCAGTAACTGCTAATGATACGAACGCGCGATTGACCTCTGCACGTGAGCGGTGCAATGCCGTTTGGCTGTGGGAGGAAAGCCCGTTCACACTTGGCCTCGAAGGGAGTGAATGCGGTAAAACTCACCGGAAGTCCTTCGCTTTGTCGCTGGAATTATGGTCTGCAAACGATTCCGTGAGGCCAACGCGAAAAATCGGTCCGAGACCAATTTCACCGCCATGCGATAGCGGATTGCTTTTCTGCTATGGCTTTGGCTACACCGGCTGTGCTAACTCTCAAACCACGTGATGTAAACACCAGCCGAATATTCAAGATGACGGCTAAGGCATCGGTGGGTGCGGGGGCTCACGTCGGTGCAATCGCGAACTGTCCACGCAGCACGACAAAGCTCACGGCCTTGAAAAAAAGACGCGTTCATCGAGAGCTTGGTTTGGATTACGATCGCTGCGAACACCGGAAGAAGGTGGTGCAGCAGCGAGTAGGCATGTCCTAACGTGCCTCTTTTTAGCACTGCTGGCCGAATGCGTTGCCGTTGGTGCCGGTGCGTCTGCTCGTGTCGTTTCTTCAGACATATCTCCAGAAACAACGTTTGTAAACATGTAACCTGTTTCCTTTCTGTGCTTTGCATGCATAACTAGAACTCAGTGGGGATTTTAAATCTCTGGAATAAATTCTCATGCGGCGAAGATGGCGGTGGTGGCATGCATACGAGGGGCAGAATGAATGTGAACATGTTCGACGGGTGCGGGCGCGGTTTTGTGGCCGCTTTAGTGTTATCGCTTAAATTCTCAAGTGTGAATTCTCTTGGACTGATTTTTTTTTTTTTTGGTATCGACTTCGCAGCACGTTTTTCTCGCCGCTTAAGTGGCGAAGCGAGTTAATTTTCAATAAGTTTTGCCCCTTTCGCTACCTTTGTTGTCAAGTTTGAACGCGCCTTATAGCGCCAGCAGCATGAGTGAGGAAACCGCGGCACTTTATCTAGAGGTTGTAAAAGCATGAAAGTTAAAAAGAACATTATGGACTTTTTTCAGCAAGAAGTAGTTGCCCCCAATAAAGTTCTTGTTCATTTTCATGATCTGCTTTAATTTGTTTTTGGTTCATACAATTACCGTACTTACTCGCATAATCCTCCCATTGTTTTCGGCGAAAAACCGATGCAAAGTTGGGGGGGTGCGAGAATTACGCAGTGAAATCTTTTCACGAAAACGTACAGGGCGAAAAAGAAAACTAAGTGGCTGCAAATCGGGATTCTCACACTAATAACTAAGAGCAAGATTTGAAAAGTACCAATTAAATTTTTCTCAACAATAAAAGCAGAGGGAGGTTCAAAGAAAAGGCAAGATTTATTGACACAAAAAGTGCAAGCAAATAGTCGAGAATTGGAATACCATACGCAAAGCTTGTGGGTGTTGCGGGCGTAGCGGTAGCGTTTGTCACTCAACAGGAGCCCTCAAAAGGTAAACTTGAGATGTCAGTATTGGGCTGATGGCTATTTATCAGAATCGTCCCCAGTTTCCTCCTGAAGAATTGAAGTTTACCATCAATCTGGGGTACACGGCAGGCCCAACGCGTCTTGGTGGCTTTCAGCTGCCGTCACCAGTATCGAATACAAAACTGGTCCACTCCATAGGGCCTACCGGCGGCCCTGTTGCCGTTATTTAGTGCATGATCAATCACTTCCAACTTGAAAGCAGCCGTGTAGCTTCAGTATCGCCCCATAACGTTACAGGATTACCGACACAACATACAAAACACGCCGCAACACGCACTTGCCGCTTTGGCTTGGCCTGGATTGGCTTGAATATTTGTGCAATAATAGTACGCTTGATGCTTAAAACATGGCGCCAGATGGTGTGCGCTATCATCATCAACGGTTGGAATAAGCTGACGACATTATTGCGGCCCTTTTCGGGAGTGCGATAATAACTCGCGGAAAAAAAAATCTTATTTTTGTTGGGCAATGTAAAGGGTGCGAGAATTATGCGAGTGCGAGGATTACACGAGTAAATACGGTAAGAACATTATGGACTTTTTTCAGCAAGAAGTTGACCCCAATAAAGTTCTTGTTCATCTTCATGATCAGCTTTAACTTGTTTTTGGTTCATACGAATTCGGGATGATACAAATATTTTGCGTGCTCCCTTCGAATTCATATTATTGAGATTCTACTGTACTTGATTGACCTCTGCAATGCCACCTGGGCCCCTGTCTATGTCAAAGCGTAGAAAATGTTAATTGGACCTGCATACTGGGATGAGCACGCATCCTTATCATAAACCAAATTAAAAATGTAACATCATGGTGGTAACGCTTGTCGCTAATAATCATCTCCGCTTGCAGGACTGTCAAACAACACAAGCTTCTCGAGCTTCAATATTTGGTGTCGGGGGTCATTTAAGGGGACAAAGTAAGCAAAAGTGTTAAAAAAATAATTTTTTTCTTTTTGTATTATTTGAAATCTGCAGCCTTTTCTGAACCAGAATCAATCATTAGTTTGTCTTATTATGATTGTTTCATCTCAAAAATTGCATATTTTAAAACTTGTGCGTTGGCCTGCTGTGCTCCCATTCTTGCGTATACAAGGGATTCCTTGCAGTTCAAGTACCATAGCTATGTGGAGAAGTTAGTTTGCAAGCTGGAGTGCATTTGGCACATTCAAAAAGGAAGGCCCAGAACTGCGAAAATGAAACAAAGGAGAGGCATCAAGCTCTCTGTCGGGATATCTATATATCTGGTCAGGGAGGACTTACTGGTGTCATCATTGGCAAGCACCAAAACTATTATCGTTTGGCCTTTACAGGCTTGCCATGCAAGACGTTAGCACAAAACGAAAAAATTATATTGGTGATGAGTATCTGGCTGGTGCCTATCGAATGGGTCCTTCCATTTGCTGTTATCTCGTACTTATGAAATAATGCAGATTTTCACCTTTAAGTGCGATTATCTCAAAGCATGCTTTTTTTGTACTTGTGTTCCTTTTTCTCGGCAACCACAGTATCTAGAATCATAGCTTTCGGCCAGTATTTAGATAATGTAATATGAAATATGTTGAAGCAGAGTTATTGTTGTGTGGGGAAGTGCTCTTTTGCAACGCATCTGATAGCTAATATAAAGTGATAGTTAGGTACCCGAAGTAAAAAATTGACAGAAAATTAGCATTACAGTTTTCAATGCTATATCTGCTTCAGTAAGAGGAAAGGCTCATCATCACAATGATAGTAAAATAATTACTGAAGCTCTCATGGTTATGGGTGCATAAACTTCACCTAAAATACATGGCAGGTATAGGGCTTTCCTTGCTTACACTGCACTTCAAAACTTTCTTTTAAAATATTGTTTGAATTAATGAAGCTTGCTGAGTTTATGTATAGTTGTTGCTTGTTTGAAATATGCAAATATTTTCAGTGGAGTGTATAGTTTTTGAAATATGAAACATTTTATAAGGCCTCTTTCAGGCAACCTTTTTTCCTAAACTGGGAAAGTGGCAAAGTGAATTGGCATAGTACACTAATCTTAAACTAGAATGGTACACAATATAAGCAGGATAGATCTTGTAAACCCATTTAAAGAAACATTATAGGAACTTTTGTGAGTGAAATTTCACCTTGAGAGGGCCCTGTGAGGACTCTTCTTCGGCAGCACTGGAGTTCGTGCATGGCCCCACCGCGGTGGTCTAGTGGCTAAGGTACTCGGCTGCTGACTTGCAGGTCGGGGGATTGAATTTTGGCTACGGTGGCTGCATTTTCGATAAAGGCGAAAATGCTTTATATGCTTGTGGGCTCAAATATGGGTGCACGTTAAAGAACCCCAGGTGGTCGAAATTTCCGGAGCCCTCCACTATGACGCCTTTCATAATCATATGGTATGTTTGGGATGTTAAGCCCCACATATCAATCAATGAGTTTGTCCATTGTTGCATATTGAGATGAATGCAAAAGGAACGCTTGAAATTGGCACACGTTAACAGAAGTTATTAACCTTCAAACTTTAAAACCCTAGCAGACAAGAAAAAGCGTTTCCATTTCGCATCTCGCTCTCCCACTGACGTCAAAGGCCGCTTTTGATCATCGTGCCCCTCTTACAAAGATATGCTCACCTCGTGGTGGCCCTTGTGCACTGCTCCTCGTGCCTTTTCGCAAATGTTTTCACACTTTCATACTTCAAACCAGAAATTCTTTTGTATCTGAGGAAGTATATAGGGTGCTTTTACATTTTTTAGAGCACAATAGTGTGGTCTATTTGGAACCGTACGAATGTTACTCGCGGCTTCTCGTGTCGAACCAATCAAAATGTACGGCCTGTGTCGTCACTCCTACGGGGGGAAGCATTACTTACGATCATGAAAATGCCTGCCATGTGTATCTCTAGTCTGACAACACTGCAGTTTCTTCATTGTGAAAAATGCAATCTGTCGATTATTTTCTGCTAGCTTCTGCCTAAAATGAAAGTTGTGTCCACGAAATTCAGCTCCCAATCTTTCAATCTTGCAGTCTACACCATTGCACTTGGCAGCAGGCTACAACAGAGTCCGAATCGTCCAGCTCCTCCTGCAGCATGGGGCTGATGTTCATGCCAAAGACAAGGGGTGAGGCTGCATACATGCTTCAATCGTGCATTTTTGTCATCATGTTTGTGAAAATTCTGAAATCAAGAACTAGAACATATTGGGAAATTCAGTATTGCAATATGGGCTGTAACCTTTCGAAATTTTTCCTAAACCACATGCTTGGGTTGTTGCTTCATCTTAGGATGGAAAATTAGCATAAAAAGGCTTGTAAAACAATACTCTCAGGTGCAGTGCCAACTCTCACCTAATTTTTTTTATGATACTTTCCTTGTGTATATCCAAAAAATGGTAGGCAGGGGAATATGGAAGCTTGCGATGAAAAATTCCTCAACAGGGGATGTGTCGAGCCGACGTTTCGACACAACCCCTGTTTATGGATTTTTCATTTCCTTGTGTATATAATTTTGAATCTTTTGAGGCAAATTGTCTTGTGTTCCTTCCTTATTTCATTTGGCAACCTTCTTCTCAGGTGTCTTGAGAACTTTGTAATTGCCTGTCTCATCTTTTCTTTTTGGTCTAATGTGCTCAATAAAGTGCATTGTATTCGGTGGAATAAATTAGCACTGTATTTGTTCATCTTGTGTTCTATCTTTTTACACTGTTTTTCTTGCCTTAGAAATATTTTTAATTTACTTGATGGGTAACTCTGTCTGCAGGGGTGGTCCCAAAAAAAAGCTGAATGTGTCATTGACGTTTCGTTTGACCCTAATGGCACTACTGAAATTGTGTTGATTAACCAGCTATTCGGTTTGAAGAAAAATGACAAAACACACCTGATACTTGGCATTATTTACCCTAAATATAATGCATGTATGTACCAAAAGCATGTTGCCTTATGGGCTGGATGTATAGAACTTGTGTGAAAGTGACAGAGCTTCTAAACAAAGTAGAATATGCCTGAAATGTTTAGCAAGAAAAGCATTCATGGCTCTGATTTTGCCAGTAAGACGTCAGCAAAGTGGGCAAACTTTACCTTTGCAGAATGGCAGTTTCTTTACACATCCATTTTCATTGCTTGTGGATGTTAGCTGTCTGAAAGACCACGAAATGTTGTGGGAATTGAAGCTATCCCGCCGCCATTGCGCGGGATTCGCTGCCTATTTCTGCCATTCTCATGTCTTGACATGACTCTTCCCTTCTCTGCGGTCTGTCCCGGTGGGGAAGCGGAAGTGACAATTAACCCCTTTCACCCGGTAGCGGATGTCGACAGTAGCACCAAGTGCAAAGTCTCTTGGGACGTTTCGCAAGCGCGCGTAGGGAGTGAGTAAATTTTTTTGAGACAAGGGTGAGCACGCATTTCTTTTTTGTCCGTCAGCTCCTTTTGTTTGGGGATCGCGTGGACTTTACTGATGGCGCCTTGCACCCGCGGCGAACGCTTGCCTTTTGTCGCCCCTTTCGAACTCTAGGCCTAAGAGCAGTGCGGTGTCTTCGCGCGTGGTCGTACTACGCCGACCCATATCTCTCGAACACAACACGAGCGGAGTTTTGCCCTCGCTGGAGCGACCGGGCCTTGTTGGTCCCGATGTCTCCGTGAGTCACTTTTGTTAACGGAGATGTGCTTACGGCACTTCGTGTAGTACTTCTCGCCTGTGGCGTGGATAGGCCTATTTGCTTTCTCGTCGCCCCTGTTGCAGCGGGCTCAGTACTGAGTTTTTGCTTGCCACAGGCAATAAAGTGTTGCAACCTGTTGAGAGCAGTACCGTGTTCTTGCCATGCTGCGCTCAGTGCCATGGCTGTCCAAACACTCATGTGCAAAGGCGACGGTTAACGCGTGCCCTGCGACTCGCTAAGACCGAACCCACATTAGTGGCCGTAGTGTTTACTACAATGTCATCCGCATATGCTGTTCAATATTCTGCATTTATCTGATGGGTCCTCAGCAGTGGTATACAGGTTGGTGTCCCATGCCTAGACTGACTTGACTGGTCCATCCTTCTGTGCTTCTCATTCTTTGAAACTCCAAGAACACATGACCGACAGGTTAGGTTATCAAAGCAAGCTGAAGTCAATGTGAAATACTATCTCGAAATCATATGGTGGTTTTGGGACGTTAAACCCCACATATCAATCAAATACAATCTCAAACGGGGAGAGCTAGGCATTCAATTCGCACAGAAGTGAGAATGTACTTGTACTCGTAAGAAAAAAAAAAAGAAAATAAATATGACTAGTAACAATGGCAAGGAACAAACACGCGTCACCTTGACTGAAAATAGATATTGTTCACATTAACCGAAGGAAACCCATAAGTCTAAGCTGTCCCGACAGTTCACACACTTAAGTTGTCAGGGAGTCCTAATGCAAAAGAGTGAAGGTGCGGCTTGCCAGCAACTTGGCTTGCTAAGTGCATGGAGTGTTTGCCAGCAGGATTTCTTTGACCAACTCCAGATGGACATGAGATGCTACCTTGTTGGGAGACCAACTGTAAATTAAAGGGACAATGAAGTGGTTTTGCGTTCACGAATTTATAGGGAATTCGGTATCTGTGACTTCTTACAACATGCCTAAGACGTTTTTTTTTCACAATTTTCGCTTGAACAACGGTAGTATAAGAGAGTTAACTTTGACCAAGAGAACGCCCCCTAGTGCACGTGGTGCACAGGAGAGAGATAAGTGGGGCAGTGACGTCAGTGGCGGGATCGAGCTGGGCCGCCGAGGCCGCTCAGCCTGTTAGCTTCGGGATTGTGCCTCATTTCTGCTGTGATCTGCTGGCAGTGAAGTATCAGTTCTGCTATTTCGGAGCGATTTCTTGCCATTGCACCGTTCTCCTCTTCTGATTAGATTTTCACCATCCGACACTCACTAGTTGTGTTTGTGTGGGATCGAAATCGACTCGCGATGTCGAAATTACGGTGCGGCATATTGCTACTGAAGCAGCACTTTCGGTCGCGATCAGGTCGCTTTTCACAAGTTTTCTCGGGATCAGAAGGTGGCTGCAAAATGGGCCACTGCAGTTAAAAGAAAAGACTTCAAACCTGCGAGAAAGTCTTTGGGATTGATGATCAAGTGTGTGTGACTGAACAGCGATGCGGATCATTCTTTGTTTCTGCACCTGAGGGGGCCGTCGCCGCCATTACGAGTTGCCTTCGTGAAAAGAAATGAGGCAAGGGTGCAAGACTATTCATGTGCCATAGCAGTGCGTAGTTATCACGGCCGCTTGCCGCGGCCGTGATCAGTTCACTCTGCTGCCTTGCGTCCGTGATGCTCACTTCGAATCTCTATGGAACTCGTGGATCACGAGCCATTATGCAGACACTCGTCATCGTAGTTTCGCTGGATCTGGGACCCAGTAGGTCGCAATCTCTCTATTTAGCGACAGCTTGCGGTCACGCCTTTGAAGAATATTTATCAGAGCTAGTCTAGATCGCCAACAAAAGTGACCGTGTAACACGGGGGGCGCTTTATTTTGTTTCCGGCTTGGGTAATATTTTGCTATCAAAATTCAAAGTCATCAATGCAATGATGCAACTATCAATCATATTGTTACAAATAAATATAGCACCTGGTACTATATGAACTCTTTATTTAGGGCGAACTTGTGCCCGTAAACTCAAAACTAAAAATGGTCAGCCAAAATGTCTCTTGCTCGCTGACTCCAACTTCGTCGATCTCTTTATCTGCCCCTCCAGTCTCGTGCCGGTCCCGTGGCGTAGCATCGTGGCGCGTGCAGAACGGCGTTCCATGGCGCGGCTTTCTTGCTACTTGTGTGGCGGCTTTTAAGAACGCGAATTGTGGCACGCGTCTTCTGTGATGGTCGAGCTGTGGCATTAGTCCCCCTCCTAGCACGCATCGCCCCGATGCGTAGAGCCGGCTGACAGTTTCTAAACAATAGGACTTGTCCTTGTGTTAGACGGCGTGAGTCAGTTTACTTGTTCAGTTCCTGTCGTAGTACGATTTCATCCGTACTACATGTACAACTTCCGGGAGATTCCGGCGTCGTGTTGTGCACACTTGACCTTCAGGGATCACTTCGTAGTTTAATGGGCCTAGATGACGAAGAACCCTGTAAGGGCCAAAATAGTGCCGCATAAGCTTTTCAGATAGGCTACGTGCACGTACAGGCGTCCAGATCCACACTTGGTCTCCAGGGGAGTACTGAACGTCCCTTCGTCTTAGATTGTAACTGTGCGCGTCGACGTCTCTTTGTTGAATGATGCGGTTCCGTGCTAGTTGTCGAGCTTCTGCCCTTTCTACATATTCGCTTATGTCAGGGTCCTCTTCATTCGTGCTGTTGACAGACAGCATTGTGTCTAATGTCGTTATTACTGTCCGACCATAAACAAGTTGAAATGGCGTAAAGTGGGTTGTCTCTTGTACTGCGGTATTGTATGCAAAAGTAGCATACGATAATATGGTGTCCCAAGTCTTATGCTCGATGTCCACATACATTGCGATCATGTCAGCAAGCGTCCTGTTCAGCCTTTCAGTTAACCCGTTAACTTTTCGTTAACCCGTTTCAGTTAACCATTTGCGGATGGTACGCGGTAGTTCTTCTGTGGTCGGTGTGCGTTACTTTCATGACAGACTGTACTAGCCTGGCAGTGAATACAGTTCCTTTGTCAGTTATAAGGACTTCAGGTGCGCCATGTCGCAGCGCTATCTGGGTCACAAAAAACTGAGCCACTTCATTTGCCGTTCCTTTTGTGAGAGATGACGTCGCGGCATACCGGGTCATGTAGTCGGTTGCTACAACTCTCCAGCGCTTCCCGAACGATGACGTAGGAAATGGTCCTAGCAAATTCATTCCGACCTGCTCAAACGAGAATTTCGGTGACTCTATCGGTTTCAAAAGACCTGCTGATTTTAGAGGTAGTACTTTGCGTCTTTGGCATTCTCGACATGATATTACGTAATGCTGTACTGAATCCATCAATTTTGGCCAGTAATATCTCTGGCGGATTCTCGCCAAAGTCCTATTAATGCCCAAGTGACCTGCCGATGGGTCATCATGACACGCTTCTAAAATTTCCGCTCGCAGTGGTGATGGTATCAGCAGGAGGAACGTTTCACCGGTGTGT